TGGATTTCAACAATGGGGGTATTATCCACTTCAAGGAGTTGACAGGACCGACCTCTCATTGCCTGTAGAATCGAATTGCGGACCGGTCATTCAATCCGAAGATATATCCACTATGGACAAATAGCTCAAATAGAATGACAATTTAACCACAAAGGGACCGAATGAAAATGTAGCAAGCAATGAAGATGAAAGCAATGTTCATTTTTCGGACTTCATTAATTGCCCGAAAATTGAGTTTGTGATTAAATTCGATGATGTGGTGGAAGTCTATATAGTTGGATTTGAATCCGACGGAATATGCAAGTCTTAATATATGGAAATGGGTAATGTTAAGTGTTGAGACTAAACGAAAAATGGATCAAAGCCAAAAGGAGAAAAATGGGCAAGGCATCCAGAGCCTTCTTTAGATACCCATGAGTCAATTGCCAAAGTTGAACTAAAGACTATAAAAAAGCGCTTATTGGGAGGCAACCCAACTTTTATAACTTTTAAGCTTTTTATTTACTTTTATGTATTTCCATGTTTTTATTTTGATTAGCTATAATTTTTTTTTTTTTTAGGTAATATTTTTGAAGTCCCACATACTCATGGTTGCTCACAAGTTTGGGGGTAAATTGTGTACATGAAGGTCACTTGCCAATTCTATTAAAAGCATCAAAAGTTCAAGTAGAGCATTTGTACCTCTTCACAAATGTCTAACTGGGGAAGTTCCGTTATTCCTCCTCTTTCATCTTGTTTTTTTTTTTTCACATTGAGGGTAATGTGTGATTTAAGTTTAGGGGTGATTGTGTTTAAATTAGTTATATTGTGTTGATATGTTAGATTGTCTTGCCGGCTTAGGATTGCTTGATGTTTAAAATTGTTATCGATTCAAGAGTTATGCATGACCAAATATGCTATTTGTGTGCCTAATTTTTTCAAAAAAAATGGATTGTCCATGTGAGATCCTAAGTCATTTTGAGCACAATAGTCATGATTAATTGTTATCTAGATGTGGAAATTTTTTATTGATGGAGATATTTTTGTATTGGTAAGAATTAGGTTGTGAGTTGCTTGAAAAATGGTATCAACCTATATTCTCTTCTCTTTCACTTTACCATATTGTAGGATAAGTTTGGGAGTAGTTGAGCTGGTGAATGATATTATCTAAAAGTGTGTTGATTCCATGCGTGTTGAAAAAAATTTGTGTGGAGTGTCTTTTGCCAAATATAAGCTATGTAATGACCATATGCTAGGAATAGGTAGTCGAACCGGTGAAGGATATTATCGAGAAGTGTGTTGATTCCATCCATGTTGAAAAAAATTTGTGTGGAGTGTCTTTTATAAGTATAAGTTAGGTAATGTCCATATGCTAGGGATCTAAGCCATGATGTTATGTTGCGATTAAAAAAAATGATATTGTACTTGTTGAATCTTGGGCTTCATTTTGTAGCCTTTTTTACTCGAGTTATTAAGTCCGTTGGGGTATCTCAAAACCCGGTACCCTTTGGTCGAAACAATTGGAGAGTTATCGACCTAAAGCTTGCTACAAGGGTCAATAAGAAAGATTAAGAGAGTGAGGTCAATCATGAGTTCTTATTAAAAATTTTGTTGAAATTGTGCCATTGTCTTTGATATTTG